AGACAACAGAACAGAGCAGTGTGAACAAGTCCAATTCATACCCACTCATTTTTTGGGTCACCTTCCTTTGGCATCCATTAAAAAATGGGTCACAATGGATCTGGTGTGAATGGAGGCTAAACTTTTTTATCTACCTTTCAGCATTTTTTTTCTTTATGCTGAGCCACGCATACGCAGCTAAGACCTAGCACATCGAGATGAAGTAACTCCTGTGCGCCGGCGCAGGAGTTACATCTTTGGGGCCCAACATTTCCAGAAAGAAGACAAGAGAGAAGATGGAAGCGCCGGGGAGGGAGGAGCACAGCGCTGGAGGGAATCACTTTGGCAAGTCTTCCCTAATGTGCCAATATGCCGTGCATACTAGAACATTATGGCTAAAAGCTCCAGGGGGGCTTTTTGTGCATTTGCTTTAATACGTTCATGTATTTTCATAATTTTTTTATTTTTTAATCTGCGACTTTAATGAAAATAATACAGTGTTTGATGACCCTGCCAAAGGTCACTTTTCTGGCACTTCCTTATAGGTTCCATTTACATTTCTGTGATGCGGCACTGATGTTGTGTTGCAGTGTGTTGCGTTGCAGTAGAGCAGCCCATTCATTTAAATGGACTACCTGCCTATCTAAATTGCAGTAATTTTTTTTTTTAAATCACATCACGCCACAACACATGGTAATAAGTTACCATGTGTTGTGGTGCAATGTAACATACATGTGATGGCTCGGTGACTCGGGGTGCCATTAGGAAATAATAGCACCGCAGCGCACCTAGCAGTGTAACATGCAATCTCATGTGATGTGGGATCACATGAGGGAGCTTTGAGAATGTAGCTTTGGGGGTGTCAACTGTCTCCCAATTGTGCCCCTGTGTTGTAACTTTGTCACATGCACCTCCGGAGGAGACAAGTGACTCAAAGATATTATGTGGCATTTAACACTATTGTCACTATCAGGAAACCAGTCCAGAGCAATGATGTGGATATGACCCTGGAGTGAGTACATGTAGACAGGCAGTGACTAAAAGAGGTTGAAGGAGATGAGATTAGCAGCACTGGTGCAAAAAACGGTGAAAAAATATAATATGTCAATTGTGTATGGTACACAGTGCTTTAGCAAACTAAACACCATGCAGTTAGGGTCTGGATCTACTTTACAGTGGCACTGAGTTAAAAAGTGAAGATCTGCTGTTGTATAGGGAACCTCTGGAAATGTACTACATACCATACCTTACCCTTACATTTTACCTACCCTTTGTCTTAAATTCCTCCTAAAAAATAGCATTGCAATACGTGTTCCTAGGCACTCCTGGCTTTAAACTCATAGTTGTTTATCTGCAGTGTGTGATCATAAGAGGCACTGCTGCCTTTGACTGCTAGTCTCAGAATATTTAGGGCCTATTCACATGAGCCACTGTGCTGCATCGCACAGCAACTGGTGTGCGGTGCCCAGCACAGTGCTGATGTGCCGAACCCGGCACCGTTTACTTTATTTAAGAACTTTATTAAAATGTCACTAGTGACATTTCATTAACATCTATGGGTACAATGTGGTGTGATGCGGCTGTACCGTATTACATCCCACTGCACTTTTTTTTTGGCGCACACCATTGCATTCCACTACAACACAGTGGTGTGAACTGTTCCCATTCATGACAAAGCAAATTGCCTTGTCTTGCATTGGCGCTGCACTGGACAAAAACAGCCAGTGTAGCCCCAACATATCTGGTAGGAATTCATTCTTAAAGTGAGATTTGGTGATGTATCTACTTTTCTGGTTCTCCCTGCTGGAGTGAAAGCTGTACCTGAGGTCCCGCAGAGTCTGCTTCATTCATTTTGTGGATCTCTGCTCACTCCACCTCTCCTGCTGCTTTTTGAATATTACCCTACTAGTGATCAGATCACCAGTCATCAGGGGAGCAGCTCTAATGAGCAAGCCATGCCCCAATTTCACCAAATGGACACCTCAACATAGAGACACAGTGCAGAGGAATTCATGTTAAGTCATGAATGGGGAAAATATCAGCTGCAGGGAGCCTACAGCAATACTGATGACCAGTCCCCTTGCTTGAACTTTCATGGGATACACATTTCTTCCATAGCAGTCACATTATGCAAGGTGCTATTGCTCCCTGTACAAATCCCAATTCACTATATAGCCAAACAGCTCAATCTGCTTTGTTCTAAAGCCATCACAACTCTGCCCCCGGATATATCTCAGAACTTGTCTCAAAATATCACCCTAATCTTCCACTCCGCTCTTCCCAAGACCTCCTGCTTTCCAGCTCCCATGTCAACTCCTCCCATACTCGCCACCAGGACTTCCCTAGAGTCTCTCCCATCCTCTGGAACTCTTTACCCCAACATGTCCGTCTATCTCCCACCTTGACTGCCTTTAGGCGATCCCTAAAGACTCATCTCTTCAGGAAAGCCTATCCCCCCTCAAACTAACCACTGAACCATCACGTTCTCAAACAATTCATCCCTGTACAGCTACCTCCTCATGTATCACTTCCCCCTCCTCTTCTAGATTGTAAGCCCCAGGGTCAGGGCCCTCCTTACCATCTTGTCTTGAATTGTATTGTATTGTGATTGTAATGTCTTCCTTATATTGTAAAGCGCTGCACAAACTGTTGACGCTATATAAATACATTGTAATAATAATAATAGTTACAGAAAGGATTGCCAGACCCAAAAATTAGGTGAAGGAGTCCAAGGTGATTGTTAATTGTTGGCAAGTAGGGGCCTAGTTGGTCTGATGTTGGTCTAGTGTTCCTCTAGTGGTGACCTTTATAGCAGTCAGTAAATTCAGCTTTAGTGCAAATAAATTGGTGAGTTAAGAGTGACATCATTTTTCATCAGTCTAAGTACATTGATATAACTGCTGTAAGGGTGCGGAACTGACTTTGCCACCTGCAAGTAAAACCTACACCTACATTCTGCCATTAATACACCTGTTACATATGGAAGGATGAACTTAATTCACCTAGTAAATGTGCACAAGAGCAAGAAGGTCCTGCTACTAACAAAGTAGGTTTGGTATGCGTGACAGCTATGTTATTGCCTTAAGGATTGTCTAACAAGGATCAAAGTTTAATCTGCCTCTGTAATCCCCTTTAAAAGCAGCAAATCACCTAAACACAGGTCCACAACAAAAAAAGGTGCTCATACTGAAAAAGCTTGGTGAAGCTGAACATATCATCAGTATTCAACATCATCAATTACTTAATGGTCAATTTTACAACCCATTAGGTCAGTAGTTTATAAGGCCTTGTCTACACATCATGCGTTCTCCTCACTTTTCATTTGCTGCTTCTGTAATGATGCATGTTTATTTATAAAATAATAAATTTTTCAAAATAACTTGGTCAAGTAATGCTTTTGAAGTTTCATTTACATACCATATGCTGTTGTTAGGGATCCGTTTCTAAGAAAAGTGCCTTATTTTTGAGATACTACATAGTTAATTATTAACAACAACAACAAGGTAGAACTTTTTCATATGCTCATTGGTAGCCATTCTCTGAATATGAGCATATTCCAACAAGGGTCCCCAAGGGAATTTTTAGTTGACCATTATATTATATAACCACAACCAGTCTGACACAAAGTAAAAAAATTACTCCTAGGAACCAATCAGACACTAGCTATTACTTACAGACTCCTCTGGGAAAAGGAACAATGAGCACAATTAGTTTCATTAAAATGCATACGTATTCATGCAAAACACAAACCTATCTATGCAATCTATATGTAGAATGAATATTATTTACAGTATAGCCCACAGATCTCTCTATCATTATGCCCTTTAGGCTTAGTAAAGTTGAGCTGTTCCAAAGATAGCTGAATGCCGGCCAAGCTCAGGATTCCCTTGACACCCATACTAACAAGCCCTGATATTCTCATATAATAAACACAAGTTATATCAATAACTGCCTCATTATTAACCAGTGAACAGATATCCAGTGATGAAAAAAAGTTTCATATGTTCTTGAATCTAGTCTAAGCTTCTAAAATATCATTAGAACAGAATGAGTCAAACTTTACATTTTGTAACAGAAAATATTTTGCTACATTATATACAGCAACATGTAACATTTCAGCTGGGTAAAACAAGTCTACAAACAGAAGCAGTAGCATTGCGGTCGAGAAGTGATTATTAGATTCCTAAAGTCTTACTGAATACAGCAGGCGAAATAAAAAAATATCCGTTTGGTTAGTTTAAAACAGCCAGACAAATTACATTTCATAGTTGGTTCACTTGGTTGATTGCTATGGGGTACTGCACATCATAACAAAATTTTAAAAATAATCTCAAATGTCTTGTTTGTTTTTGAGAATGTAAAGAAAATTTGGCAACTTCCAAGACATGGCACAAATCAGAAAATTTGTGGGTGTTTTTATTTTTTTTACTTATAAAAGAAAGAATACATTTATTGGAGCATGTGCTGGTCTTTTCCCGCCAAGCCCAGAACATCCTGTATTTATTGCTGGCCAAGCCATGGTACAATGTGCATTTTGCTGCCAGTAATTTTTTATTTTTTCCCCCTGTGTACTAGCATCCTACAAAGACCGTAGCCAAGGCTCTGCCACATCACGGGCACACGAACAATGGGAAACAGTGTAGCCATCTCAACACATATACATATTTCAGTAGCCTGATCTGAATAAGAATTACCAGCAAAGAGCAAAAGTGACTCTTATCCACTAGAATATCAAAAGAGGCAACTGATCCCTTTCCCAGAGCCCTGTGTACAATATGCTGCCTCATCTGCTCTTATTATGGTATCTATGAAGCTATACCCTCCTCTCTGTTTATGTTTTGTGACTAGAGCTAGCCCACTACACGTTGCAAATTCGTTCCAAGTAGCCCGGTGACGTGGAACAGCTCAGCAAACTAAGTGACGGCCATCAGACACTTATTTGCAAGGCGTACAAGACATCAACACGCAAGCAAAACAATAGAACTGGTAAATGGTAATAGAATATCACCTTAGTAGACCACCTGCAATGAACCCACAAGCCTTGGCGGACGTTGAAAGATAACGGCAGTGCCTTCCACTCTGGGCTTCAGCACTAACGGGCTGGACAGCTCCTATCTCCCATACACTGCCCTGACGTTGCAGTTGCCGTAGCTCGCTCTGGCATCTGTCCCATGAATGTAACCTACTCTTCTAGCTGCTGCATGATCACACAAAAGGCACAATGAACACAAATAAAAGAGAACTCACTGGTGAGCACAGGAGGGAAGGCTGCGTAGAGTCCCAGCCTGTTCAGTTCAGCAATGCACATTGACTGCCTGCTCAAGGACTTTCGCATTGGATGTATTTTATCAGCAAGTGCATCCTGAGCCGAGCACATCTAGACATGCTCAGTTTTCTGACCTTCTCGGCCTGGGAACTACCAAGACCAATGCAGCAAGGAGGGGTAATCTGGATTCTACCATGAAGTGCTGCTAAAAATAGCACCTGCAAAAGGAACAGCTGGGGCTTAAAGAAACAGTAACCTGTCTGCCTGCTGCGTGACCTGATTCATTTGTTGGCATGCAGTTAACCCCTCGGCTGCTGGCTGGCATTAGGCTCTCTTCACAAAGCTAAAACACTGGAATCCCTGTTAAATAAAAATAACAAATAGCTGTTTTCAGCTGAGTCCAATGAGATTTGAAAATGATAGTCACATGGCTGAAAGCAAATGCTGAAGATTGGTGAATTGATGCATGCTGTGTCACGCAGCAGGCGGGGTTGTCATAAGCAGATGTGATCAGGTGGATGGGACGGTTGGCTGGCTTTAGGAGAGTCAGCTGGGTGCACTGGATTCTGATGCATCAGCTTTTGCTGTTAATTGCTTCTTCCTTTTTTTTCATATACAACTGTTTGGAAGGATGCCCTGAGTCATGTGCTGCACCCTGATCACTGTGCCAATGCAGGCTGTTTTGCTGTTTATACTTGCCTGTGTTTTTTCCCAGGTCTAGATTTGGTCTTTCTGTGAGGACCCGTTCAATACCAGTGTTGCATTAATCGCACAACACCAGACATATACCGCATGCTATCGTACAACGCACGTTGTGTGTGTCACGGTGCACTAGGTGCATTGTTTTGCAATTCAAATGGCACCCTAAGGCACTTTCTGGCCGCCATGCATTGCAGGGCAGCGCAATGCACAGTACCACACTACCATGCGCTGCACTGGGGAAAAGTAGTGCATGCACTACTTTTTCCCACCACAACATACAGTATTGCAGTACTATGCACTGCAGTGTGTTGCAGTATGGTAACGCTCTACCATGCGTTGCGGTGGGGAAAAGTAGTGCATGCACCACAACATACAGTATTGCAGTACCATGCATTGCAGTGTGTTTCAGCACACGGCGGCCTGGAGGTGCATTGGCAAGGTTCATTGAGATGGAAATACTGTATGTGCGTTGTGGTGCAGTGAAAAAAAAATAGTGCATGCCCTACTTTTTTCCACTGCACCACAACACATGGTACTGCAGTATCGCGTGTTGCTCTGCAGCGCACATCAGCTGGAAGGTGCATTGGGTGCCATTTAAATGAAGGGCAACACAACACATCTAGTGCATGGTAACATTATGCTAATGTTATGGCTCTACATGTGAAGGAACCAGTGACGTGTGGTACCTCTGATTCCTTGGCCTCAGTGGGGTTTTTTTTTCTTTTTTTGATTGGACAGCTTTGGACAGCACTTTGCCATTGGTCCAAGCCATCCACAGAGCTCACACCTCTAACAAAGAGTAGAGTCTGTGACAGCTCTTACTTCAATAGTTAGGTTACACAAGCCGTGGGGAAGCCCGCTGCTGTGTAACCTAACTACCTGTCAACAGCCGGACACAGCGCTGCCTGTAATTAACAGCAGCGCTCCGTCCATGACAGCTTACACAGTGGCGAGGAGTTCCCTGCTGTGTAACCTGATAGAAGCCGATCTGAATGGAGAAAAAGCTGTCAGCTTCAGACTTGAAGCTGACAGCTTTTTTCTTCATAATACTAGGTGAGGCTCTGCCTCCCCTGACCGCACGTCCCTGGAAGGAACTGTAAGTACCAGCATGCTTTTCCAGCTAGCACCCTCATGGTAAGGCCCCATTCACTCAGGGATTTTGCAGCGTTCTGGGATTCCTGCGTCAGGAGCCTACAGATTCCTGTGGCAGGAATCTCAGGTGTCCCCGTTCAGATGCAGCTGCTTTACCCAAGTAATTGACAGTGTGATAGCGGCCGCATCTTTCACCGGGTATCTGCATGTAATCATACACCCTTTTAACCATATGGTCGATTCCAGTATGGTGTGTAGAAGGAATATACTACAGTAGGGTGACCATTTGTCCCAGATTTCCGGGGACAGTCCACGGATTGAGGATACCGTCTCCTGACAAATTATGTCCTCGGAAACATAAAATGAAAATAATTTTTTTTTTTTTTACTCAGCTTATCCCTGGAAGGGGTGTGGCGGGCATCGTTTGGCGGGCGGTGCTGTCTTCAGTTCCTTGTCTCTCTCTCTCCCTCCCTCTGCTTCTACCTTGTGGCTGTGACTGGGTAGAAGGAAGTGACATCAGGGAGAGAGAGAGCAGAGAGGGAGAAGTAATCCTCCGGCAAACGTCTTGGAGCTCTTTCGTCTGGGACTGGATCTTAATTAACAGGTACTTATTAAATTACATTTTTTTAAATATCAATTGAACAGGGGGGGGTTGGAGGGTTGGTATAACATTTCTATAAGCAACAAAATGATCCCAATAGCAATAATAATATGCAAAACAATACTAAAAATAAATAAATAAAACTTTTTTTCATCAATGTGTTGCTCTAATTAGTAAAATTTTGGAAAACATTCATGAACTCTTAATGTGCATTAAATGTGACCAATATCATTCCAGTTATTAAAGAACATCCATGCAATATGGGCTTGTTCACATCAATTGCGCTGCACTCCAGAGCGGTAGAGCATGCAGCATTTTTTTGCGTTCGCAGTGGAACGGAACGCAGGCAATGTTTTGCCACGCATCTGATCGCACTACAGACGGGGGGAGACTCTGCAGTGCCATTGACTTCGAAGCAGCGCCATGCCCCCTCCCGTCCCAGAACTAAGGGGGGAGTTTAGTGTGCAATTACAGTGCGTTCCAGCAGCTACTGCTATGGAACGCACCACAATTGGTGTGAACAAGCCCTGTTGCTTTTTATATATTGCACAGATGTTCTATAATAATTTGAATAATATTGGTCACATTTAATGCACTTTAAGAGTTCACAATGTTTTCATAAATTTTACTGATTAGAGCAACACATTGATAAAAACATTTTTTTATTTATTAATTTTTAGTATTGTTTTGCATATTATTATCACTATTGGGATCATTTTGGTGCTTATGGAAGGCACATCTTTTATATTTACTTTTTCACTTGAATTTGCACAAATATAATATTTTTTTTGTGAATATTTAGTGTTGTGCATAAAAGTTTACATATCGTTGAAGAGTGAAAGCACTCGGAGCAGAGCAGTTTAATATTTCCACTTAGTTATAGGAACCCCGAGCGCAGAATATTGTCAATAATAATAATAATAACACGTAGAATGCAATTTTCTACATGAGATTTTAACACTGTGCTAAAATCTGTGGCAGTCTAAAGCAGTGGTTCTCAACCCGTGTAACCTCCGGACCCACATGTTTCCTTGGTCATTAAGGCGTGACCCAAAAATGATTTCATTTCAGAAACATTTAAATTTATTACACAAAACAACTTGTGCAGTATTCAGCAACATTATATATATATATATATTATTATTGCGCCGGCCCGAAAGTGAGGAAATAGTCCCCTCTCTCCCCGGGCCATACCACTTTATCTGAGAGCCCGGGGGAGGCCGGGAGAGAGGGGACAGTTTGACATGAGGTTCCACAGGCTGAACCACAAATTCCCCCTCTCTATTCAGTCTCAGGCCGGTCTATTCAGACATGACGCCGCGACCCACTGCAGAGGGTGTCGCGACCCACTTTTGGGTCGCGACCCACGAGTTGAGAACCACTGGTCTAAAGGCTGTGACATACTGCACGCAAAGCAGGGTGGAGCGGTGGTGCACTGCCTTCACGTGCAGTGTGCCATGTAATTTTCACTTCAGCAAGTCAGCTTGCGATAGCTCGAGACGAAATGTGAGAAATAACGTGTATATATATACACTGAGTGGCCAGACTGGCCACTCAGTGTATATCATACAGTCACTCCATATACCACACATACCAAATACACTGCATATATAATTTGAGGAAAAAATGCTAGTAAAATATATATTTTTTACCATTTGCCCCCCGCCCCCCCCAAAAAAATGTCCCCGGATTTAATTTTAAAACTCTGGTCACCTTCTACTACAGCCCCCTTGAGCATATTTCCCTTCATTTCCTGTGCATGTGACAACATTGTCACCAGGACAGGAAGTTTGGGAAAAGCTCCCCAATAGGGATACAACAAAATACTTTAATTAAAAAGAAAATTTCCAGTGCAGGCAAAAACAACAACAGCAAAGGGAAGAAAGAAAACCTCTTTTGAGATTTCTTACTGTCGTCTGTTTCTCTGATGTCTAAGATTCTCCATACTTGCTCTTCCTGTGACACTCATTGTAACATTTATCAAACCTCGAGCAGACAGAATCTGGAGCAGTTGCCCATGGTAACCAATCAGCTTCTATCCTTCATTTTCAAACCTTACCTGAAGAAACTAAAGAGAAGACATGATTGTTTGCCATAGACATCTGCTCCAGATTCTGTTTGATCCAGTTATGATAAATCCCCCCCCAGTGAGTCATCCAACAAGAAATTAGGGGAAATCCCCCAGTAGGGCTACAAATAGCAATAGAAAGCTGACACAAGTTCATGCATGGTACAGTTTTAGCACATACTATCACAGAGTGCACCTAGCATGCAGTACCATGCGCTAGATGTGTTGTGTTGCTATTCATAGTAATGGCACCCCAATACACCTCCTGGCAGCTATGCCTTGCAACACAGTGCAACGCACCTACTTATTTTTACTGCACCACAATGCACGGTATTGCAGTATCATACAT